GTAAACCATAAAGCTCTGTTGTTATTCACTCCAGGCAAGTCAAAGCAACTAGTTCAGCTCTGGAGTACAATGTACATTAAACTATAGCTTTTTACCATAGTGCCACATGCAGCGTGCCATTTGCTGAATTTTGCCTTATTGAAAGAACTTTATTGGTACTCAGTGAAACTGCATAAAATCTGCTCTGCTCTGTTGACTGGGCCACCCTCCCCCCCAGTAAGACTATAAAAATGAGACAGTGGAGCGATACAAAATGCTGAGTTGATTGGGCATTTCAAACAGCTTTACTGCTGAAATGAAGAACAGCTTGAGAATTCTTTGGACGTCCTGTTTATACACAGGCATGTTTTCAGTAGGCCAGATTTCAATTTTTTCACATATCCATCTGAAGATATGAAGATTCTCTGATATTTCACAGGTATCAAGGGTCAAAAAGTGAGAAGGATCCTGCTATCAATGCTCTGCTCCCACTCACAATGCAGAGCAGACTGACAATTAAACTGGGTCTGCTGCTGACAGACAGGAAAATGTAATTCAGTACTAAGAGCAACCAAGATCTCCTGCAATCAGTTCAGTATAGATAAGCAGTCAAGAGCCTGTATTTTGTCTCACTTCTCTCAGGAAGAAATCTTACAATACTTTTCTAGCTTCTTGCTACCTCCCCTCCATCAACCTCCATATTAACTGTCTATAAATTTGCATATTTGCTTTCCAAATCTCAGATATACGATCTCAATATCTTAGACACATCTGAGATGAAGATTTCAAGATCAGTTGTGGGCTCACATTTAGTTTGTTTGGTCTCCCCTCAACTGTTTGACTAGCCATGACAATACTCTATACTAAGCATTGATATACTTGATTCAGTTGCTGAATCTGATCATTCATTACATTTCTTTGCTTTCCTGAAATGTAATCACTTCATATATTTTGTAGATTTAAGACCTGCAGTCAGTAACGTAAGAAACAGTTTGAGTTTGTGGAATAAAAGAATCTACCATTACTCGAATACAAGATCAGGTTTTAGCATCTTGTCTTACAATTGCATATAATGAAGCCACATTAAACTATCATTAAAGTGCTGCCAAAAGCAGCGTGTGCTCAGTAATGGAAGTCAACTATGAAGTTGAATAAAATGTAGACAAGACTAAGAATGACTATAACACATGTGGTCTGTAACAGGCAAACTTACTGATGGGAAGGTAAGGCAGGGTGAAGGGGGTGCACGTGTGTGCCTTTAAAATAATAATTAAAAAAAAAAAAAATAATAATAGGGCAGGGGTTCCCTCCAGAGATCCTCCAAAAGTTTATGCAGAGAAGTTGCAAGGTAACCTGGGCCAGTTCCAGCTCATGGAGGGCAGGTCCACACTAACATGCAACAGGCTTAGAGGGCAACAGGGGGGTTCTGGGTGCAGTGTTTGGGAGCCTGCTCAAGAACTGCCAGGCATTTAAAGCTGGTGAAGAAACAGGAATCTTTGGAAAGGGGAAAGAAAGGCACAGCTGGGCTCAGGGAGTGAAGAGGAAGTTGGAATGTATTCAATGTAGTGGCTCACTATGGCTTTAAAGAGTTGGTGCTGAAAGAGACTGAGTGCAATGGGCACTACCATATCTTATTCAGATGGTGTAGGGTATTTTTTTTCCCAGCTTAGATCCAGTGTAGTCCCTATTCTCATCAGCCTCTTGTGGGCCAAGATCATCTTAAATGGCAACCTGTAGCTGAGGGCATGGACTTGTCCAATGCACTGCAGGGAAACCCCCCTACTAGAGTCTACTATAGTCTCCCACTAGGAGGATCTCAGCTACAGGCTTATTTTATGGAGATGGGAGATTATACCTTGACTTTAGCAAGACTTTTGATAGTCTCCCACAGGAAGTATGGGTTGGATGAATGGACTGTAAGATGGACAGAAAGGTGACTGGATTGCAGGACTCAACAGGTAGTGATCAATGGCTCAATGTCTAGTTGGCAGCTGGTATCGTGTGAAGTACTGCGGGGTTTGGTCCTGGGGCGTTTTGCTCAGTATCTTCATTAACGATCTAGAAGATAGGATGGAGTGCACCCTCAGCAAGTTCTTCAGGCAGTATTAATGGTACTTCTCTAATGACTTGAGGTATCTCCTGTACACTGTCCACATCTCAGCTCCATATAGTAAGGTGGGGATCCTGACTGCTTGGTAAACCATGAGCTTGGCTTCAGATCTGATGTCATGATTTTCAAACACTCATTTCCTCAGGCTTCCAAAGCCTGCACTTGCACATTTGAGGCAATGTTGGACTTCTTTGGTGATGTCAGTCTGCTGAGAGATGGCTTCTGAGGTACAGGCAATATTTGACGTTCTCCAGTCTCACCATAAATCTGAATTACCAGAGTTGGGGACTGCTCATTAAGAGCTTGTTGACGGAGGACCCAAGTCTTCTGAACGTTAAGCCTCAGTCCCATTTTCTTGTATGCCTCAATAATCATGTCGACGATTGCCTGAAGGTCTGCTTCCAAGTAAGCACAACTACAGCATCATCAATGTACTGGAGCTCAATGACTGAGGTTGGGGTGGTCTTGGTTTTGGCTCAGTCAGCTGAGGTTAAACAGCTTACCATCCATTTGGTAGTTTAGTTCCACTTCAACTAGAGGCTTGCTGGTGGTCAGATGTAGCACTGCAGCAAGGAATATCAAAAAAAGTGTTGGGGTGATGATGAAGCTTTGCTCAACTCTCATCTTAACCTCAAAAGGATCTATGATAGACATGTTACTGAGAACCATCCCTCGCACTGTCATGGAGCAGGCAAAAAATGGTGATAAATTTTGGTGGGCATCCATACTTCATAAGGATCCTTTACAGCACTTCTCAGTTGACGGAGTTGAAGGCTTTCATGAGGTCAAAGGGCACGTAGAGAGGTTTATATTGTTCCCAGCATTTTTCCCGCAGCTGGAGAGCAGTGAAGATCATGTCAGATACGCCTGTTAATGCCCTAAATCCACACTGAGATTTCAGGAGGAGCTCTTCAGAAGTGGAAGGTGACGGGGTTCAGGAGAGTTCTCACAATGATCTTTCTTGTGGTAGACAGCAAGGTGACCCCTCTAATTTACAACTGAACCCATGTCCTTTCTTGAAGACTTGCATCATGGTGTCCCTGAGGTCATCTGGGATTTCTTCATCATTCCAAATCTTAAGACATGCAGCCGTGATGTGAGCTCCTCTTCCCCCTGCTTGAAGATTTTGGCAGGGATTCCGTGAGCTCCAGGTAGATACTTTGTCCTTCATCTGGTGGATGGCTCTTGTCACCTTATCAAGAGTTGGAGAGATTATGGCTAGGATGCTCTTGGGTAAAGAAAAGGATGTTTCCAAGGATGATGGAAAGGAACAATTGGAAAAGCCTTAATACTACTTCAATGATCTGTCTAAAAGAACAAACCAACTCCCTTTGATAGGAGATAGCATACATACAAAGTTAAAACTATTGATTTCAAAGTGGATACTCTTCAGCCAAGCCAAGAAAATACAATGGAGTGTGACTTATGAACTCGTATAGAACAAAATCTAGGTCAGTGGTTCTCAGCCAGGGTGCTGTGACTCCCTGGGGTGTCTTGAGATTCTTTCAAGGGTGCCACACTGTTAGCAATTAGGTTTAAAAACATGATCCACAAGATAAAACCCAGAAACTTCAAATAGAAATCCATAGTTTTGGTCTCTCTGAGGTCTTCACAAAAGCAAAACTACTTTCAAAAAGGCAAAAAAATTAGCATGAAAACTAAAAAATGGCATTTTCCATGGAGTGCCTCAAGTCTATCCAAGGGTGCCTTGAGTCTAAAAAGAACCAGTGATCTAGGTGGTTAACTCCTGCAAGTATGACATCTTTGTGACAGCATTGGTTACTGGTTGTCTTAGAAGAAAGTGAAGAAAATTCTAGCTATAACCAACATTAATAAGGTAACCTCATTGCATATCACATTTCAGTCTCGTGTAATGAGCAGGAACAGAGCACACACTTCTCTAGGACTCTGATCTCCATCCATTACCCGAGACACTGTATAAATGCCAAGAGAAAAGTATATTCTAGTTTTAAGTCAGACTGATAACCATTTAGGATGCTAAGTGATGTTTTTGAAACTTGGTTACCACTTTCCCAGTGATTTTGCCAAGTAGAGTTTGGATCCAGGATAATACAGAAAAACCTTCAGCTTGCACTGGTGCATCAAAGTCCGAGGAGAACTGTTGCAATCTTCAGGTCAGATTCTTCCCCCTCCCGCCCCAACAAAGTCAGTATATTCTGAGTTTCATCAGAAAAGAGGGACTGGATCTAAGTGGCCTGCTGCTGCTGTTTGCCAATTAAATAAAGCTATAAAAAGTTTCCTGGCTATCTAGCTACATTAGTCCATACTTTTGAACGAGCAGCTCAAACATTCCCCAAAAGACAACAACATTTGCATCTTCCACAATATAGCTACTGCTGATAGAACTGACATTACATAATGGTGCAACATGGAGAAAACAAGTTATGCACATGCAAAGATCCTGACCTAAATTAAGCTTTTCAGGTACAGTGAAGTCTACAGTGTAGAGACAGTTAGGAAATGAAATACACAAAGTGCATTGGGCAGCCCTGTTCTTTTATAGGCTCGGATCCAAGTGTCCAGGTTTACAAGGAGTATTTGTCTGCACAATCCATAAGTTCAGGCAATTCTTAAAGCAGGTAGATTCAACTTTGGATTCATTTTTGGAGTAAGGAGAGAGTGGAAATTGAGGTAAAACATTTTTCCAGTTTCTTTGTTCAATTCTAGATTTTAAACATCTCTGGCATAAATACCTGAATGGAAAACACAGACAGCATGGCTAATAAGACTGAACACCTTCCTTCTTAGTGGCAAGGTGCCTCTACTTAAAACATTCAGCTTTCTTATGTAAAGGACTAAATCATTGCTGCATTTTCTAAATACAAAATAAGCCAGCCATAAATAGTAGTTCCTTAATATAAACATGGGGAAAAAAAAAAAGTGTTCAAACAAGTTACAGCACTAATATAACAGCTTATAACACAACTTTTATTAGAAAAGTTATACATAACAGCATCAACTATTTTCAAGAATATTAACCCTGAAAAGCAACAAAAAACAGACTAACAAAACGTGTAACAAGAAAAACTAATGACCTTTTCTATAATTAAACATTCAAGTTATCTACAATGTCTCTTTTTACAAAGGGGAAAATCATGGTTTTACAGGCACATCATGTTGAAAATAAAGCTGCAATAACTATTTTATACAATTAACTTTTTCAAGATTTATTAAAACATGGTCATTATGTAGTCTCAATTTTTAAAACATTCACATAATTTTACACTTGATTATACACTGAAATTTCAGTCCCAAAAAAGAATAATTTCACAAAAGTGCCAACATTAAAACCAGAACTTTCAGTGTTAATTTTGCCCTTAAAAAAAAAAAAAAAAAGTTAAGACGTGTTTCCATAATCAACATATTCACATAATTTGTTGTGCTATCTGGTCCTAACAGTAAAGCTGCATTCTTTATAGTAAAACCAAATAGGACTTCTGCAAAGCTGTTAAATACATTTTGAACAGAGGAGTGTGCATTATTGGAAAACTGATACTAAAACCATAAATATCTCTGAAGAGCCATTAGTACACTTTACGCAATATTAGTTTTATTAAATGGAACTATGCCTGCTTGTATGGTATATTTAGTCTGCTGCCATTTCAATATAGGTGGTGTCTAAATTAAGCATTTTTACAAAGGCAACTTGTCCAACTTCTCTTACGTTCATATCTTTGTTTAATAAAAAAGAATAAAAAAAGATCAGATAATTTACAATCTAGAAGTCTGTTTTTAAAAGTATGGACTTTGTACACAGCTCTACAACATTGATATTTTAAAGTTTAAATGAAATTACTAAAATGTTTATTGCCTGCCTATTAACAGTAATTAGCCATTACCAGTAGTGGACCGCAGTGAAAGCGATAAGTAAAAGGAATGTTTTGTCTTAAAACATTCAATATGTGGTCTGTCCTTTCTGTAAGCAATAGGATCAATTAGAAGAAGTGTTTTCCAGAGACACCCGTTTCCCTTTAGCATCAAAAGGCTATGAGGTCCTACTGCAAAAAATTGCAGTGACAACAAGCCAACATATGAGGCACTACCATTCATACCGGCAGCTGTAACACCACCCATGGTACAAAGGAAGATACTGACAAAGATCTAGGGAAGGAAAAAAAATCACTAGTATGGAAAGCAGACTGACATTTTTGGACAAATTTGGCAAAAATTTTTAATCAGACAATAGATTGGCCATTCAGGTTTACTTGTGCAGGTTAAAATATCATTGCTGAATAAAGCAAATCAAATTATAGTGAGTCATTTCCATTGTTACTCAATATGACATGCACCAATATTGCACACATCTGCTCTTAATCTTTAAAACAATCTTTGTCTCTGGGTCCTTGAGTTGTTTGTCTTGCTTCTGCAATTGAAACTCAAGTCACCCACCCCAGCAGTGTCACTAAAATCAGAAGTGGTAAAATACAAAAACCAAAAAGAAAAAAGACTTTGTACAGACAATAAAATCCAAAATTTTCTAAATCTGTAGGCCCTACACATGGGGCAATATGTACGCACTAGTGAAATTAACACTAGCTCTGCTGTATCTCACCACTCAAATAATATGGAATCTGGGACCAGGTGTTGCAATGATGTCACTGTAAGGCTCTTCCTGTGTCAGCTCTATAGCTTGTTGTTTTTTAAGTACCAAGAAACTGTAGAATTTTGCTGCTGCTTGTTTTCTATTTGTATTTCTGCACAGCTCCAGCAAACTGATAGATTCTGCTCCAGTCTTAGCAAGAGCTCTCTGGAAAACAAAACACAAACAGGAACACAAAGTTAGTCGATATGCCAAACAAAAGTAAAAGTTCTATATATACACACCAAGAATGGCCAATGTTGACAAGTCATTCAAACACTGTCAGAGATTTAGCAGCTTTAGCCTTGAGTGCATAGGCAACAACCAGTCTAGAATAATGGTGGTTTCCAAGCTTTGAGGCTCCACCATTCAGTATTATGGGAAAAATAAGTCTCTATCCCAGTACTCAGTGGTTCTGAGGTGGTCTTTTTTACTGCAGATCTGAGTGCTACTTTTCTGCAGGAAGAACAAATTAGGTTCACATGCAAGAACAAGGATTTCGTATCAAGAGAAGGAAAACAAGAGACAATTTCTTTTTCTTCTTGAAGGTGTATCAAGCAGTTCAAGCCTCAACTAGCAGTACTATCAAACCACTGTGTACTAAATGACTGATCAAGGTTCCCTCTAAGGTGCGCACAGCCATGCACAATTGAGTGTGGCCGCGCAGTCTTTTCAAGGCTGCATGCCAAGAGGCTGGGGTGGGGGGCTGGTGTGGGCTCCGCTGGCTCTGGGGAAGTGCTCCGCTCCCCCGCATCAGGGCCGGGGAGCAGAGCACTTCCCTGGAGCCGGCGGAGCCCGTGCCAGCCTCCATCCCGCCCTTCCCCCCCCTGGGGGAGGAGCCGCTGCCTGCCCCAGTGAGGCTCTGGAACACTGCTCCGCTCCCCCGCATCGCCTCAGGGAGCAAGGAGGCACGAGGTGTTAGGGCCGGGGAGCGGAGCAGTGTCCCGGAGCTGGTGGAGCCTCACCTCAGGACAGGCAATGACTCCTCCCCGGAAGTGAGGCAAGGCAGGGATGGAGGCTGGCTCCGCCGGCTCCGGGGAAGTGCTTCACGCCCCGGGCCTGATGCGGGGGAGCGGAGCACTTCCCTGGAGCTGGGGAGCCCGCACCAGGCTCTAGCTCCCACCCCCGGCCCCTGCTTCCCGGCTCCAGCCTCTGGCTCCAGCCCCCAGTCCCCTTTGGTAAGTGTCCCACGCCGGACCGAGGCGGCACGCTCATGGACCACTGCTTCTTAGGGGGAACATTGCCTGTGATCCAACTGTTAAGTGTTACCACCATAACTATCAATGGATCAGAACCTATATTTCTATTATTTAAGAGGAACAGGAGTCAAATTTCAGAGACAGACGTAGTAGCAAGGTTTGATTGTGCATGATCAAAGGTGACCAAACTAATCAACTATGCTTCCCAATGGCAGGGGAGAGGCTGTATTTAATCTCAGTCAACAGAACTCAGTCCATGCAGTCTTCCAAAATGGATAAGAAATTCTGCACTGAGAAGTCTGAATTCCTTGTGATCTTTCATCTGAACTTATAAAAGATACTTTACTTGCCTGTACAATAATTTTCCTAGTGCCTCATGTGGAGCCTGCATTTTGCTGGCCAGAGGTACAAACAGAACTGCTATACCAGACTCTAGATGAATCAGATTAATTGGCTCCAGATTCACACAGTATTATTAGCATTTTGCAAATATTACCATTTTTTGGATCAGGGAAATTATGATAGAGGTCTATACAATCATTAAGAATATGGACAAAGTAAATAGGGAACTGCTGTTCAAGTCTGAAAAATACTAGAATTAGTGGGCACCCACTCTTATTAGCTGGAGAGGATTTTAAAACTAACCTGCATATAATTAACAAATTACCATAGAAGGTTGTAGAGGCAGATGGTATAACCAGGTCCAAAAAAAGGGTCTGGACAACATTCATGGACACATTAATACACAGGCTGGCAATGTTTTTGGGCTGAGTGCCAAAAACCATACAACCTCAACTTGGAAGATGCTGACATGCCAGGGGTAGATGTCAAGGGAGCTGCAAAGGGCCTGATCCTTGCTGTGGCAGCACAGCCCCGATCCCTTCCCTGCTGTCTGCCCAGAGGCACACATGCAGCTGCCACCAGCAATGAATGGGGGAGAGCAAGGCTCCTGTTTGGGAGCGATACATGTGGTTTCTCTTTCCTTCCCCATGCTGTTGCTCTCGGGTCTGTCTTGCCAAAAAAGCTCCAGGCTTCTCCCATTCCTTTGTACTAGAGCTTGGGGGTGGGGGGAGGAATTGAGGGGAGCCAGGAAGGGAGGAAGGAGTGGCACTAAAACCTGGAGCAGGGCAGGGGGCACCCAGGGGAAGCAGCTGCCCTTGTACTCAGGGGCTGGGGAGGGGAGGGCACAAAGCAGGACAGGGGAAGGCTCCTGCTGCCCTCACCACTGCGTGCAGTGTGCGCGTGGCAGTTGGGATTGGGGCACACACATCCCTCCTTGCCCCCCTTATGGGGGTACTGTACTAGGGACAGAGCCTGATGGGACACCTCCCACCTGCCCCCCCCGCACACATGCTTCCCACTGCTGCATGAATAAGCAACATCTCCTCCTCCCTCCCCAGCAGCAGCGGGGTAGGCATGGGGTGACAGTGCAGTAGGGCACGCAATGGCAACAGGCAGCAGGGAGAAGGCAGCTGCCAGGGCAGCACAGCGTAGGGGCAGAGCTGCTGGTGCTCGAGTGCTGCTGCTGCTGCTACCACCATTGCTGCTGCTCCCCCCTGTA